GAAGACTGGGATCTCCTCGCTCCGAGGTGGGTGAGTGCGTGTGTGTGCTGTAGTTGTTATTATTATAGGAATAGGTTAAGTGTAATCAGGGGGGGCAGATAATAACGGCAGGATCATGACAGGTAACAGCCTGAGGTGCATTCGCACTAATTCTAGGGTACGACCAGTCCGAGGCGCCTAAACAAGACATAAGCAGCTCCTCTCTCCAGCCCGAGCACGAACCGTCCATCCGTTCGTAGTCCTCCGAAGGCATCACCACCATTTTATCCATTTACCAATTTCCATCATCATCATCATTACCATCAGAACAACGGAAAGAGCGAGCGTTTGGGTGGCCGAGCTCGGTCCACCTCTCTTCTTCATCATCAACCACAACAACAAAACATGCAGCAATGGAAACGCTCGCAATTAGCGCTTACGTAATTAATCACGTTTCGCAAAGATCTCTGAATAAAAACTAAATGAATGGAGATATTAAAGGCGCGAAGCTTGTCGGTACAACTAAATCACCGATTGGCAGTCAATTTTGAAACGGCAATTAACCGAATTAACTCCGGTTCGGTTATACGCGTACTTGAGTGTACGTAGTGTGCGCGTGTATGTACGTTCGAGCGAGCGAGATGGAAGGCAGTGATCGTTTATTATCTCCTGATTTATGATTTCCTGAGTAAATATCTAATGTAATGCGGCCGGCGTGCAGACCACCTGTTAATACGCTCTCTCGACTCGGAGGACCACACACTTCTTCTTTGCTTTTGGTTGCACGGAAAAACGGTGCATGATTATTTCGTCCGGGTTTTCGGACGTCGCGCTCGTCGCTGTTGATTGGCCTAATGATGGGTTTACAAAAGCATTTTCGGACACGGCGCGCACGAATAAATCCCATTCATCTCCTCATACGTACATTGCATTTTCACAATCATCTCTCTCTCTCTCTTTCTCTCCTTCAGTTACAAAGGAAAGAAAAACTTTGGTTTTGGTATAAAATATGAATATAGCGGACTTTGCCTGCCCTCCACTACCTGAGCGTCCCGAAATTAACGATCCGCATAATTTAGTGTTATGATCGTCGTCCCGTCCTCCTTTTTCTTCCGAGAGGACGACGACGACGAGGATGATGATGATGATGAACATAAAGAACGAAGAGAAAGGGAGATGGAGCTTCTTCGACCCGAAAACTGTGTACCTTCGACCGAATTCTTCTTTTTTTGTATTTACATTTCGGAATATGCGCATAATTGATTCGCCCAACGGAAGGAAAATAAATGAGCGAAAAAAAAAAAATAAATAATGATAACAACGAATAATGCACAAATCCAATCTAAATTCAAATCAGCAGGAAAATTATTTAATTTCCTCAACGGCCGAGTAATTTATCGATTATCAACTATTTTTATTTTTTTTGCTCTCCTTCCATATTCATCTCAATAATCCATGCATTATTCAATACTTACGAATCATAAATTACACAGTTTTTTTCCAAAAGTTTTACAAAACTTAACAGTTTTCAAATCATATCATTTCTAGTTAATAATTATTACATTTTATAATTATTGTTAGAAATACGAAAACATTTCTTAAATTTAACAATTTACGCAACTTCAGCTAATAAATTTATTTAAAAAAATTAAATTAATATTGAATCTACAAAATATTAAATTTAATATTATTTATCATAAAATTTCAAAACTTGTGATGGAAAATTTAATTATTATAATTACGAATAACATATGTTGTTTTTTATTCAAGCATTTGACATTGAAAAAAGTGATTTAAATGATGGTTATATAAATCAATATTGATTATATAACTATGAATCAAAATTAAAACATTTTCACTTTTAAATATCCACAAAAAAAAAGTTAATTATTTGCAGACAACAGAGATATAATTTTTATAAGAAAAGTTCTAAATAATTGAAATATTCATGTTTAAACAAACTTTTGTAATTAAATTTACTCTAATAATGAAATTAATGCAAGAAATTTCATTATATTATAAAATAATTTCGCACTGTATTTCATTTGAGTTTTTTCTTTTTAAACTCAATTAATTAACAACAACAAAAAAAATGGTATTACAGATTATTGAAAATAATAAATTAAAAAGTTAATATATATAATTTACTGAAATAAGCGATTCGTTAATTGTGCAATTACAGTGTGCATTGTTATTATGAATATTTGCGGAAAAATCACGTTATTAATATAATAATTGTGTATTTAATTCAATTTCGAGAGAACACGACACGATATATATAATGTGTAATTGTTGCGCGTTCTGTTGTAAAAACAAATTCGCTGCGAATATCGGTAATTACGGTCCTCGTTCAAGGTTCTTTATTTATTTATTTTTTTATTATTTCAGGACGAATTCATGCATTATTCATATCCCGTAATGGATATAATAATGGTAATAACAATAATTGTCGAAAATTCGTTCCGTGTCGGGATTCGAAATGAGCGCGCTTTGTTAAACATCATTCATTTGTTATTCTCTTCGTTGGTTTCTTGATTTTTTTTTCTTTGTTTTGTTCTAAACTCAAAGAGAGATACGACATTTGAATTTGATTTGTTCGTATTGAGAGGTGAACAAACTGGAACGCGAATTAACATAAGAAATTTCCTTTTTGCTGAAATGCAGAAATGCGAGTCGCGTTTGGACGTATCGTAAATAATTTTATTATGCAAATGGACTTTAAATACTGTTTTACATCCATTCCTAACTTAATAATGTCGAGAAATTTGCGTTCGGCGGATGAAAATCGTAGGAAACTTATGTAAACAAAACTCAAATTTAATAAATGTTTACTATATTCGACTAATTAATGCAGATTCTGTAAATAAATTAATAAATTTGCAATTTTTTTTTATAGTTTACACAATTCATTTCAATAATACATTCTAATTTAAACTACAATTTTCAGAAAATTCATTTAAATTTATATTTTTCAACAAAAAAGTTTAAATAAAACATTAATTTATTTAAACTAAAATTTTCTTTCCAAATGTTGTGATTATTTCTTATTTTTTTTAGGCACGAAAAATTATTGTTTTCTTTTATGAATTATTTATATATTTGTTTCCTTTTCAGCGTATTTTTATTTATTTATTTTTTTTTAAATTTATGTAAAATGTTCGTGTATTTTTCCAAAACATTTTTGGCTCAATTAAACATTGGCTTGACAAATTCGTTTATGAAAATTGTTTTATATAATTTTATTTATTTGTTTTTCTAATTTTCATATTTTTTCTGTTGTGAAGCGGTAAATTATGATGTATATTTTATAGGAATTGATATATACAATGTAGTATTTATAGGAAAAGTGATGAAAGCTTCGTCTTTACTTTCTTATCGATGTTTATTGTTTACGTTTTCGCGGTGTCAATGAGAGCCTCAGATGATCAAGACGAGAAGGAGGGAAAAAAGGTCGCAAGATCACAACATTTTTTATTTATCTTGCGGATAAATCCCCACACTTTGATTGATCATTCATTAAGAAATCCAGATATACATGAACAAGAAAAAAAAGATCAATTTTTACTTTTGTTTCATCAATGTAAACTTAGATCTGTCAACAAACGGTGTATGAAAGTACTGATGATTTTTAGTTGATTATTTATTAAGGAATGATAATACAAAACGTCTGTTGATTTTGGTTGATCATTCATTAAGGAATCTAAACTTCAATATTGTAATTGGTCAATCAAAATTACTACTGCTGTTGATCAATCATTCAGAAATCCAGATATACATGAACAAGAAAAAAAAACATTTTTTTTTACTTTTGTTTCATCAATGTAAACTTAGGTCTGTCAACAAACGGTCTATGAAAGTACTGATGATTTTTAGTTGATTATTTATTAAGGAATGATAATACAAAACGTCTGTTGATTTTGGTTGATCATTCATTAAGAAATCTAAACTTCAATATTGTAATTGATCAATCAAACTTACTACTGCTGTTGATCAATTATTCAGGAATCCAGATATACATGAACAAGAAAAAAAAATGAATCAGCATTAAATTGTTACTTTTGTTTCATCAATATAAACTTTGGTCTGTCAACAAACGTTCTTTGAAAATACTGATAATTTTTGGTTGATCATTCATCTAGGAATGACCATATGATTTTGGTTGATCATTCATTGAGGAATCTAAACTTCATTATTGTAATTGATCAATCATTCAGGAATCTAGATATGCATGAACAAGAAAACAAAATCAATCAGCATTAAATTGTTACTTTTGTTTCATCAATGTAAACTTTGGTCTGTCAACAAACGGTCTATGAAAATACTGATGACTTTTGGTTGATCATTTATTAAGGAATGACAATATCAATGTAAATTTTACTATTGCAAAACGTGTGATGATTTTGGTTGATCATTCATTAAAGAATCTAAACTTTACCATTGTAATTGGTCAATTCAACTATAAATTTTACAATTTGAAAAAAAAATCAATCGGCAAACGGCCTATGTTTATTTTTGGATTTGGTCTATCAAACTTACAACTTTCATTTGATCATTCATTAAAGAATCTAGATATTCACGTGCAAATCTTACAATTGAATCAATCAGCAAACGTTCTATGAAAATACTGCTTCCTTTTGATCCCAATATCAATGTAAATGTTACTGTTGCAATTGGTCTATGAAAATTCTGCGTTTGGTTGTTCACTTATGAAGTAATCCAAATATTTATATAAAAATTACTATTGCAATTGGTCTATAAATTTGGTTCATCAAGGAATTCACTTTAGTATTGGAAATTAGTTAATTAGTTAATGAAGTTATTGTTGATCTATAATTGGGGCTTCCTTAAGAATGAATTAAACAAAATGAGCGCCATCTGTTTTTCCGTTTCTTGTCAAGCGATGATGGGCAACCTTAGATCTATAAATTAGGGTAGTCCAGAATACGATCGATGGATGATGATGATGATCTGATCAGGATTATCTTAGATACGTTTTGGAATGAGTTGTTGTGAATTTGCAGGCAAATGTTCCCGCAGATGAAGTTCCGCGTGAGCGGTCTGGATTTGAAGGCGAAGTACATCCTTCTGCTGGATATCGTCGCCGCCGACGACTACCGCTATAAATTCCACAACAGGTGAACAAAACCGAATCCCCTCAGAAATATAAAATACTCTCGTTGTTTCAGGCGCATGTTTCCTGCCTACAAAGTGCGTGTATCGGGCCTAGATAAAAAATCCAAATACATCTTACTTATGGACATCGTGGCTGCTGACGATTGTAGATATAAATTCCATAACAGGTTAGAATCCCAGACTTCTCTCTAATCTCTCTTATTAATTTAATTTTTTTTTTTATTATATTCTTGCAATTTTACAATTACTATTACCATTTATTTATGTTTATTGTTTCTTTCTTTTTTTTTTCTTTGGTGTCTTGCGTTTCGGGTGTTTGTTTTGTTTCGTTCCAAAAAAAACGTTTATTATACGAACGGGCGCGCTGAAATTTTTGTTTCTTTATTTTCCTCAAATTTTTCCCGCGAAAATTATAAGAAAAAAAACGTAGCTTTATGTAACAAGCTGGGACTAAAACAGATACCCGATGTGAACGAACGTAAAGAAAAAGGCACGAAGCATGCGACTCGTCAAGAAATTCCCCCCCATCCCTTAATTCACTAAATCCAAAAATTTTAATTGTTAATTGCTGCTCTTTCTCAATCTCAATCTCAATTTACTGCATGTTTATTTTGATCATTTTTTTTGTATGCTCTAAGCAGCAAATCTTGTCGAGTTTGGACGGTTTGATTGAGAATGTTGTGTTCTGATTGTTCTTTTTCCGGTTTGGTCGCGCAGTCGGTGGATGGTGGCGGGAAAAGCGGATCCGGAAATGCCGAAGAGGATGTACATACATCCGGACAGTCCTTCGACGGGGGAACAGTGGATGCAGAAGGTCGTCTCCTTTCATAAGCTCAAGCTCACGAACAACATCAGCGACAAGCACGGCTTTGTAAGTATTGTACGTCATCTTCTGCTACTACCGATCAGCTAAATCTCCCGAATCTCAATCTAACAGAAGCCAAAACTTATTAATTCAATTAATAATTATTTATTTAAAAAAAAAGCTTCGGCGATTTGGAACCTCGGGATATTTCGCTGATATAGTCTTTTTTTTTCTAATTTATTTATTTTTTTACTTAACTTATTTGTTTATTATTATAATATTCTCTTTAATAATCTCGCAAATTCCTTCACGTCGTTGTTAAACGTAATTTTTTAATCGCAATGTTCCTCAAAGCATGTCGGAGAACCGGAAATTGCCAGGCCAATTTTACCGTCACGTGAGCTCCACAATCTTTACACATTAACGAATCGCCGATTTGCAAACGCGAAAACTCGTCCTCCCGATCATTGTCATTAATATTTGCCTAAACATCATCATAATTACGTAACATTCACTCTTAATAATCTAAAATTTTTCATTAAAATTTTTGAAATTATAAATTTTTTATTATTTTTTTTTATTGTTTTATATAAAACGCGATAAATTTCGGCAAATTTACTTGTGCAAATGACTTAAACTGAGCTTTATTTATTTATTTAGCATAATTCTAAGATGGAAATGGAAACTCAGGTATTTCAAACTTTTAAATCAATCCTACAAAACATTTATTCTAGGTTTATTATTTAGCATTATTATTATTATTAGCTTGTGTTTTGAATGTTTAAATAGTTTTACAGAAACAATTCTCAAATAAACCAATTGAATGCAACAAAAATTACAATTTATTAAATAAGTAAAAAATCAATTGAGAATCGTTTCTTTAAGACTTATATGTTTATTCTATTGACGAAACTCTTTCCTATGAATTCACTTTAATCCGATTACGTTATATATTTTCTATTAACAAAACCATTAAAAACGAACATAAAATCGGTTACGTTTTATTTATGCCCAATAAAAAAGTGCATTAATCTAATTGAATTATTTGACTAAATCTAAGCTCCGGCGATTAAAAACAAAATCCTATAACTTTTTTTCGTAATAATTAATAGAATTTGTTACATTTTGATTATCCAAACATTAAAAAACAAATATATAAACATAATAATTATCGTTTTTTTATTACGCTTAATTTATGTTTTCTTACATATTTTATAAAATTTGTGAAAGGAATAAATTTTTATAGTTTATTTTGGAAATCAATACCATTTTACAAATAAATTAGAAACTTTATATCGAAATATAAAATTTTATTATTAATTTCAAATAACTTTTGCATTTCTGATGATAATACTAAATAAGTTATCGATTTACCAATTTTTCAAATATAATTAATTTGTAAAATCAAGAGCTACTTGTATATAACAATGACAACGTGTCTAAGTGTTTTTATTTTTGTTTGTGGAATTTGTATTTTGAACTTGGTGCATGATGTGTGGTTTAACATATATACAAATTTATCGTAAATTATTTATTTTTTGACTTTAGTTACGCAATTATTTCGAGTTATTTAGTCTCTCTCATTATTTATAATTAACATTTTTTACTGTGAAATTATGCAGTGGAAACGTTATTAAATATTGAAAAAGATATGAACATGTTGATAACTCGAAAACCATAGTTATGATAGAAAACATCAAAACAAACACTTTATAATATAAAAAAATATAAGAAAATTACTGAAAATTTGATAAATTTTCTATATAAATTGTAATGAAAATTCTGCAATTTATTAATTGTAATTAATGTTTTTTGAAATGTTAAATTATTATAATGAAAGAAAAATTGATTATTTTTTTCTTACAAATGAAAATTTTGTGAAATATTTAGTAAAGTTTGAGAAACTATATCAAAATTGATGTTAGAGAAACTGGAACGAAAAATTCTGCAATTAATTAATTTTAAATAATGTTTTTCAAATGTTCTCAAATTGTTATATAACAATTGATGGAAGAATGTTTTTAAAATTGTTACAAATGAAAATATTTAGTAAAGTTTTCAAAACTACGTCAAAATTGATGTCAGGTAACAATGGAAATGGAAATGCGTTTCATACTTTCTACGAAACGAGAATTGTTGAAGATCAAAAGGGCGTGAAACTCGTGTTAAAGATATTGCTATTTCGGCGCGAATTTCAAGTGATTTTTTTATTTCATCTTTTTTCCACGAGCGCCGAAAGAAATGCTAGGGGTTGGGGGTGTTATTGAGCAATAAAGACACCCTCGCTCGCCGCTCTTCATTCCACCCCCCCAAAAAAAAAAAGCATATCGTGCCCATCGGCATCATCGTCGCCGCGCGATCCCAAATCGCATTACGTAAATTCGTGTTGTCGTATCGCATTGTATCAATAATATGTAGGGGACATCGAAGAAGATGATGCTTTCAACTATCCCCTGAAAAAAACCGCCAGACTTTCAAACCCGAATTTACTTTCATACCATCAAGGGGGAAAAGATTCTTTTAATCTCGGGATGGTCTGCACGACCAAATAGAGAGAGAGAGAGGAAAAAAAAACGATAGAATGCGCTAGAAGGGGAGGGTGTTTTTTCATGTGTATGTATCGAAACCATTTTCCCTTCGTCTACATAATTTATTTTTCTCTCCATGTTTTGTTGCGTTATAGTTGGATCGCGTGTCCGGGCGACATGAAGTGAACACCTTGTAGTATTAGTGGCCATTTGGATGTAGTATTAACACTATGGAATTACAGTTCTCCCCCCGAAGAGGCGGCGGCCCAAGCTCCGACTCGAATAGGGGCGAAACTCCAGCGCTTTCTTCGGCGCCACCTCTTTCCTCCACCCCCCTGAGAACACGCGATCCGTCTTCCTCTAATTCTCGTGCGCTTTTATTTTGGGAATTTTTTCTCTAAAAACCCACCCCTTAGTCGTCGCCGCCTCCGACCGTCAACGGAATTAATAATGGATAGGGTAATTATCGGTAAATACGATTCAAAGCCACCCCCGAAAGTGAAACAACAACAAAAAAAACCAGTGGAACGAAATAAAAAAAAATGAAATGAAATAGCTAGTGGTAACAACAAAAGCAACAAATACTAACGTACGAATGTGGAACATGTTGTGTACATATGTGAACGGGGGTTGGAACCTGTAATGGAGCGCGTATTGATTTCTGTTTAATAATTTATTCCGTTTTCATTAAATACGGCGATCGTTAAAGCCCGTCCAAACGGACCGCTATTTACTAATGCGTTATGAAATATACATTAGCTTTAGGTGGATCACCGTCCGACCTGGTATCAATCAAAATCAAATTCATTCAATTCTTTAACATCCTTGACTTGTTTTGAACTCCATGCATTTACACAGCTTTTCTTTCTTTTCTTGACTCAATTCACTTCTATTTTATTTTATTATATGGAAATTAACAAAAATGTTGTATCTTAATGTTTAGTTACGAAAATGAATCATAGGAAAATGTAAATGGATTGAATTTATCCTTAATTTTTCCACCTTTCCTTTTCATCCCTCATTTATACGCAGTAGAAACGAATGAAATAATAATAATTAATAAAAACGAAATTAATTTCCATATAAGTCAATGTTCATCAAATTTATTCAAAAAAATTCTTAAATTTTTCGAACATCTTCGAACAATAGAAATTAAGCACGAAATATAAATTACAACAAATGTTATAAATATTTTTTTTTACATTTGGAATCAAACTTACTTTTTCATTATCAAAATATTCAATTTTTATTATTAATCACGTGATTACATCAACTGTTGCCATGTTTTCATCAGCAGTTTGTCAAAAATGACAATTATAATCTACGAGTTTTTGTTTATATTGATTATGAAATATTGCGATATTCATTATTTGTTATAAATCAATCTGTTCTATTTAGATTATTTATATGAATCAATCAATCAATCTTACCTTAACTTGATGTATTTCTTCATCTTCATTTAAAAAAATCTTCTTCATCGTTTTGCTTTATCTACATCATGACATTTGACATAGACATCAGGTATACCAACTAATTGTAAACATTGCAGCTGAGATTATTTATGAACTTGTCAATTTATTGAAATGTCAGTAACTGTTAAACATTCCAATAAAATCAACTGAAATAAGATTTTTAGTATTCATTAGATTATAATTTGGAATTACGTATGAACAGAAAAATATTTTCTAAAAACCAAACGAATTTTATGCATTTTCATAGTGGGAAAGTCATTATGAAATTAAGGAAAATGGGTAATCAACTTTTAACTTGAGTTTTTACTAGATAAATGCACATTTTAAGCAATTTAAACTGGAAAATACTAATTTAGGTATTGAATAACAAAATTTGATAGAAAACGATTGTTTTTTTTTTGCAACAACACTAATAATTAGAAATTTAATATTATGAAACAAATGTAAAGTATGCAAATATGAATTATTTATTTTAATGCTGAGAAAATGTGTTAGAAATTTAACTTAAGAAAAAAAAATGAAATAAATATGTAAATGATCATCAGGTATACCAACTAATTGTGAACATTGTAGCTGAGATTAATGAACTTGTCATTTTATTGAAATTCTAAAGTAATCAAAGGAAATCAATTTGTCAGTACAGTCGTTTTTTTAAATAAAATAAATGATAAATAGAGAAAAGTATTGAAATATTCTTTATAAGGATTCAGTGAGTGGATTTGCCAAAATTGGAGTAGATGTAAATAGTCTCGGTGAAACGTTTGTACCAATTATTGGTGGAGACGTTCATAACCACAAAGAGCGGGGTTCAGTGATGCCCGTGCAGATTTACATTCCTGAGCAGCAGCAGCAGACAATCGGATAATTATTATCCATTTCCTAGCGGGTTCTTCGCAAAAGGCAACAGGGAATGCCATTGTGTGCGCGAGAGATTCGCTTCCAATAGGGGTGTCGTCGTCGTCGTCGAGGCTTTCCCGCCGTCGCCTTAACGGTAATTGCATCCTTGGAAGTGATTTTATTGAATCCCGCAGTCCATAAATGTACAATTAGTGAAGAATCCTGAGTTATAAGCCCACTTAATTAGCCGGAGAGAGACCACCTAGAGCATTGAAAGGTGGAAGACTCCTCCAGATAACCCCGCAGCTATCGCAGTAAATACTCGCCCGTGGTATAAAGAGCCGAAGAGAAAAAGAGAGAGAGAGAGGATGTACTGGTATAGGTAATAGGAGTGAGTTGGGTGTAGATTGGATAATCCCATTTCCCCCCCGAAAACGACCCAATTAGTTGAGGGATGAGAGGGGCGGTGGGTGAGGTGCGGCGCGGCGGCGACTACGAGAGGTGTAATAACAGAAGCATCTAGCAGCAGTCTGTCGCGTTAAAACTAAGTGATTTTCGTTGTACAGATATCTTAATTACCGGCCGGCCCCCGCTTATCGTCGGCTACCGCGGACATATTTTTATTTTTATGGCCGTCGGTCTACCGAAAAAGAAGAACGGGAGACGGTTTTTGGGTGGCATCGCCTCCAATATCATCACCACAAAAACCAACAAAACGTAAAAGGAGAAACACTCACTCGCACACCACAAACTTGGAAATCTCGCACCAAACTCGACCACCACGAAAACACGACTTACTGATACCAACATTTCGTTTTGGTATTCTATAACAGTAGAATAATCGAAAATCACT